TGGCGCTCTCTAAGTCTTAGTAACGTCCGTGTTTGTATAGAGTGGAGTTTGCGATTTCGTGATTTTTCATTAGTTTTCATTTTCTGCAGTGTTCTAAAAATTGAAGGATATATTTCGTATATACTCGGTAAATATATCGTTAAAACTAATCGAATTTACTTAAAACGCCTGGAGACGTCTTTAGGGTACTGAAAGTACATGCTGCTTCAAATTTGCCCTCCAGGATCGCCTCGGAGAGAGCTGCGGAGCCAGAGGGTCAAGCAGGTGTTGATTCCGAGCAAGTGAGGGGTGGGTACCTGACGCGCGCGGCGGCGGGGGCCGTGGCGAGCGGGTGCGAGGAGGCGCGGCCGTTGGCGTGGGCGTGGGCGAGGCGGCGCGGCTGGGCGCGCTCTCGGGGAGGGGCGGCGGCCATCGCGGAGCTGCAGCACGACGCCGTGCGCGGGAGGGCGGCGGCGCCGCGCCAGCGCGGGGACTGCGGAGGCGGCGGCCACGACACCTGCGACCGACACGTCGCTCCCACTCGCCCCCCTGCTTCTCTCTCCCTCTCACCACCTCTCACGCGAACCCCTGCATCACTCTCTCACCGCACCACGTGCCTCTCTCCATTGTTCTCTCACGCGTACCCCCTGAATCTCTCCATCTCCCTCCCTCTCTCTCTCTCTCTCTCTCTCTCTCTCTCTCTCTCTCTCTCTCTCTCTCACGCGCATCTCATCATCATTATCTCACGCTTTTCGCAGTATTAAAGTATACCTTTAAGGTTTAAACCAACAGCACAAAATTCTCTGTCACTGCACTGCATCACTGCGTCTTACATGACTCATAACTGTAAAAGGCAGTGCTATTATCAATGGTAATAGCCACCAGTCAATTTACATCTCTTTGTCGCTTTGAGGTCTATGCATGTCTTTGTGGTGTCAGAAGCTGGAAGCTATAGCATGAAGATGAGAGCTTAGGCTTCCTCGGCCGTAGTCAGCAACTGCTTTGCTGTTCAGGAGACGCCACGTCTTGAGCCCAGGTATAGAAGAATCAGCCTTTGAAAGTACCGAGATGACAGTTGTCTAAACAATGTGAACAATATATGTACTTGAGAGAAGTATCCCTCCGCCGCGACAGCTGTTCAGCCACGCCTATTCGTAAAGTGATTGTTTGTTAATGTCTCCAGTTTAGATATTTTTTGTCAGCACTAGCTGTGAAAACGGTCCTTTTATAAAAATCTCTCTATACCAAAGTTTCGGACGCCATCCTGCGATCTTCCTCGGGGCGCATTTGGCATACAGCTTGATGCAGTGTTTGTGCCTGCTGTTTTGCCTTACCCGTCAACCCTCAAAGAAACGATTGGCCTACCGTACCGTGTATGCTGCGGGCGCAGTGCCTGGCGGCGCGTTGGTGACGGCGGTGGCGGCGCCGGCGGAGGCGGTGGCGGCGGTGGCGGTGGCGGAGGGCGGGCCGAAGAGACATGCGCGCTTCTCCAACACGTTCATGGAGCGGTGAAGCGCATGCACGATCTGCCCCTGCACCTGCACGTACATTTTCTCACTTAGTAACGATAGCAATATATTATAGTACCGTAAATCGAAGAACAAATTACTTTTAATCTAATATACTAGTACATTAAGGATCAAAGGTCACGCAGTTAAAATGGGTTACAAGAATATGGAAGTACGTGGAAAATGTATTGATTGCAAACTTTTTCAAACAAAAATTAAAATGCGCATAAACTAATAATTGGAACACTAAACGTAAGAAAATTGAGAACTGAAGAACGAGAAGAGGTACTTGACTTCGCTCTAGAAAATATAAAACACAACGTATTTGGACTAAGTGAAAGAATAAAAGCAGGGTAGTGCATTATAGATAGAGAAGGAAAAAGACGTATTGAAGACAATGAAGAGACAGAGAAGGACAATGACAATTATTACAATATAATACATATGACAATATTAAGCTTCACAAGTAAATCTAAAGGCCCAAAAGAAGTAGGGTTCTTAATCAATAAGAGCATGAAGCACGGCGTAGAAAAAATAATAGGAATTAACGAAAGAATTGCTTGAACTAAAAGTGAGTGAAATGAGAATAAGAATTATCCAAATAGATGCACTGGGAGAACAAAGATGAAACAGAGAAATGAAAGAATTCTACAAAGATCTAGACGACACTGAGGCTAAAAAAAGCACAGCTAAATATTATCATGGACGATTTCAATAGTAAGGTAGGCAAGAAATAATACAGAGAAGAAGAACTATTGGGCCCATACGGATATGGAGTGAGAAATGAATGAAATTATTATGCACATAACCATGAACTAAACTTTCTAAATACATTTTTGAAGAAAAACCTATCGGGGTACGTGGCAGTCCGCAAATGCAAAGACGAGAAATTAAATAGATTCCATACTTGTAGTGAACGGCTGGATGTGATAACAAACATTCAAATACTAATGGTTTTTAATTCAGCCCGATCACAGAACGGTACGTGCAACCATGAATCTAGATAATAAAGCGAGAAATTAAAAGGATTAAAAGGAGAGACAGCCTGAAATAACTAAAGATAATTATTTAAAAAAAAATTAAACTGAAATGAAGTACTTGTGTACAAGAAATTTACACAGTTTTACAAATCAAATTGTAAACTCCGCAAAAGAATCAGTGAAGAATAACAACTCAGGATAAAAAAAGGCAGAAATTCTCAACTAAAATATTTCTACTAATAGAAGAACGGGAAAAGAGTAAATTAACAATGAATTGTTCTGACAAAGCAAGAATTGAATATGCAGAGTTAAATAAATTAACGAAAAGAAAAATTCAGAAAGATGTAGAAACTATAAACGTAACATGACAAGACAAATAATTTTTAAAAAAACAAATCTATAAAGAAAACAAAAAAACTACAGGTATGCATTGGATGACAGGAATTAAAGATAGCTTAAGCACAAGAAAAACTTCACGAAGAAGCATACTTTTGTCAGCTACTGACTCCTATAAATCATTATGTACGAGCTTGTCCGCACAAGAGACTGATACCACTTGAAGAGAATGATGTTCTAGCTATAATGAACAGTACCAAACAGTGAAGTGAAACAAGCAATAAACGAAAAACAGGGAAAACACCCGGAGAAGATGTGATAGAGGGTGAATATTTAAAGTGGACTGAAGATCTCTTATTAGAACCAATAACTGTTTTGTTCAATGATATCCTGAAGACTGAGGAAATTCCCGTGGAATGGAAAGTTAGCATAATAATATTATTACTCTAATAATATTAAGAAATAATAGAACTCTTTCTTTCATATAAAGAAAGAAAGGCGTAATGAATTGAGTAATTATAGACCCATCAGTTTCTTATCCAAGTTATATAAAGTTTTGACAAAAATAATTACGACCAAAAGAATTACGAAAATGTTCAATGGAAGTCAAACATACCTGATCACCAGATCAGGCAGGCATCAAAATTCAGTACAGTTTATCATCTCCAATCTCTTAACCAAATTCTAAAAAACTCGGACGTACGAGTATTTAATATAAAAATAAACTTGGCTTTTATAGACTACGCAAAGGTTTACGATTCTGTAGAGCTTGTGAGCGTGTTTCGCACTTTAAAAGAGTTAGGGATATGTCACAAGGCTATTAGAATTCTGCAACAAATAGTAGATAGCTATTCTAAAGTTAAAACTGAAATGGGTGGCCCAAAATTTAAATTACATATAGGTGTAGGGCAAGGGGACACAATTTCACAAAATCTATCAGTGTGGAATACATGTTTAGAAAACTAAACTACCACACAAAAAATCATGGTTTAAAAATGGCAATGGCAAAAGATTAACCAATTTACGTTTCGCAGACGATAGAGTACTGTTTATAAACAGGGCAGCAGAATTTAAACAATGATTAATGCAATATACCAAAAAAATATTGAAGTAGGGCTAACGATGAACCCAAGAAAAACAAAATGATTGTCAAATTGGATAGAATATAAAATAAAAATAAAAACATTGTTTTAAGAGAACTGTGTATTTCCAGTGTTATTATATAGATTATAAATAGGGAGCGTAATGATATGAAATCTCTAAGAGAAAACAAACATGGAGATGAAAATATAATATTACACATCCGACTGAAGGATAAAATAAAGAATGAAGAAATTGGTAAACAGAGAAGCTTAAAAGATTTAGCAGCAAGGGCCCAACAAGTAAAATGGAAATGGGGGGGTCATGTGGCAAGATTATAAGATGACATTGACATATGTGTTAACAACTTGGGGGCCCAAGAAAGGGAAAAAGAATAAGAGGCGTCCTAAACAAATATGCGCTGATGCCTTTGAGAATATGAGTAGCAAAATATGGTCAAGAACAGCAAGAAACATGGAAAGCTGAAGAAAAACAAATGACAAAGTTTTAGTGAAAGTAAGTGAAGTACTAAAGTAAATGTAAGTGTAAAAATTAAAATAAGAGTAAATGTAATAACAAAGGGAAATGCAAAGTGAACTACAAAAGTGACTCTATAATGTATCTGGAAACTGAGTGCTGGTAGTATTAAATTAGCATGTGTTCTAGCTGATACTGGTTAGTAGGATTGTAGTGTTAACACCAAATCTCTGAAGAACTGGTTCACCTAAAGAGATAAGCAGAACCCGTCTGTGTTCTGACAGGAGGCCCCTGACTTTTTAGTCAATGGGCGTATCATCTTAGTCATCATTAGCATAGTCATTCATTATTATAGCCATCATTATCATCATCATATCAACACAAATTAGACAATTAAAACCGCGATTCATATAGCTATAACATGTCCCAACAATAAAAAGGAATCCTCTGAACATCCAACTGCCACCTCACGGCGCGGAATACCACTGTCACATTCCAGTCTGGCTAGTAAATGGAGAGCGGAAATTTGAATTTGCAAATAGGAAAAAATTGCAAAATGACGCTAAACTTCTCATATTTAAAAAGATAATGACCATTTTGTAAATAAGTATTTTTGGAATAGGTTTCATTTAACAGAAACCCGCGTTTGAGAGGGTTGGCGTGGCGCTGACGGGCTTGGAGGGGCCCACCTTGAGCCGGTGGGTGACGCCGCGCATCGCCTCGTGCGTCCTCTCCATGTCGAGGTTCATGCTGCGCATCGACTTCTGCATCTCCACCACGGTGTGCGTGATGGACTCGAACACGTGCCGGTTGAAGAGGCGATCGTCGCCGTCGCCGTCCTCCTCCTCCCCCTCCTCCGCCCCTTCCTCTT